CCGCCATCTTTGTTTACACACTGACCGACTCACTGACGTCATAAGGTAGTAATCGTGTTACGCTGATTGGTCGGAACAAGGTCACTGACGCTTCACGCTCCTACCGCGGCAGAAAAGATAGTTCCATCTTCACACTGCAGGATTTCTGCGTGTGGAAACTTTATGGAAGTAGGATGGTTGGATATATTTTCAGAATATAAAAAGAGATTTAGTTTCCCATAACAGTGGAACAGAACATCACGATAGAAAAGCTCGCCTATGGCCTATGAGTAAAGGTTCTGGACATCAGCATAAAGAAACCGTTTTGAGGTTTTTGTGTTGAAATATGAAAATGACTCACTAATAATGCACAAACTGCTGCCTCACGTGGTGCAACAGGCCTGAGTCAGATGTTTTCATGGAGGACTGTGTGATCTAATGTCACTACTACAGCTCCCCAGTTTACTCTATCTGCGCAGTAATTCACAGTAATTTAGTTTTTCATGTGTTTGTTTCCCTAAATGAAGCAGAATAAAACCATAGATGCAGGACTCCATGTGAGAATATTTTTGTGTCTTTGAAATTAAAGTTGTTGTTTTTTACAGATATTCCCAAAATGACCAAAACCATTTCCACCATCAGCACGGTTTTGAATTTATGCTGCAGTTTTTCAGGGTAACAGTTGTTCATCAAAACAGTGACTATCGAGCAACACCGCGACGGCTTGAAGATTCTCTGCTAATCTGGAATAATTATTGTGAACAATCTGGTTTTTAGTGAAGTTCACAGGACTCAGTGTTGTAGTGACGCCATGCATGGAAGGGAAGCACATCAGGTCTGAAGCTGTTGCACTATGCTTCTACAGAAGTGTGAAAAATGATTGAAATTGTAATTTCCCATAAGACAGAAGCAGCACATTGTCACTCTGGAGTGTGGCTGTCTTTTGCATTTTTTGTTTAAAAATGACACAATGAAGTGATGAATGAGTTCATTTAGAGCCAGATTCAGCCACAGTGTCATTCTAATTATTACACAGATGTGCCACTGTTTAGCGCCGATATGGACATTATAAAATATTGTCACATCGTTTTTGGGGTTTAATGGCTCCCTCTGTAGTCAGAGAACTTTTTTTTTTTTCTTTCTTTTCAGTGTTTGTGTTTTATTTTGAAAGCTTATCACCAAAATCAAGAATGTGCCACAAAGTCAAGCAGAAATCTTTATCAGACAAACAAATATCATCTAGACTGTAAAAAAAACAAATATCTTGACTGATATACATGTTCAATCTGTCTTAACTCAATGAAACCTTTAATTTGAAATCAACTGAAAAAGACGTTTTAGGGCTACTGAGCGATTTTGTTCACCTTCTTCTTTCCCTCTAGAGTCACTTTCTTCTGACAATCATCTTTCTAGTTTCCCATCACGCTGAGCGCTGCGCTGCTCTTGGCCTTGCCCAGCGTAAAGCTCACTGTCCCGCTCATGTCCACGCTGGTGTTCTTCAGGGTGAGTTTATGGAGTGTCCCGTGGTTCTCCAGGCGGACTGAAGACCCTGACAGAAGGTTTTCTCCATTTAAAGTCCAAACCGGAGGCTTGTTTATGGCAACAGACACCTCGCACTGGAAAGACGCTGGTTCTGGTTCTGTCACCTCGACGTCCTCAAGCTCCTTGACCATCACAAGGGCCTGAGCTGCAGCAGCACAAAGCACGATCATGGTGTTAAGGATGAGAACACAGAGACCTTGTCTTCACCTGTGATCGTATCCAGTTTTTTTTTTTTAGCTTACCTTCCACCATGAGTTTGGCTTTGCAGGTGTGCTCTCCCACCTCGATGCTGTAGGTGCCCTCGTCCTCGACAACCACCTGCTGGATCACCAGCTTATGGCAGCAGCCGTCAGCCAGGATCTCCAGTCGATCTGTGGAAACCAGCTCCTTTTTACCTTTGTACCATGTGGCGCTGCAGCGAGGTGACGAAACGGTGCATTCAAGGATCACACGGTGTTTCTCCAGCGCTGTTCGGTCTCGCAGGGGTTTTACAATGGACGTGGGAAGTTCTAAAATAAGAGCAGAATTGTTGGGATTGGGTGGGAAACATTTTAAGTTGCTAATATGAGAAAGATAGTGAAGGTAAAAGTAAAAATGGACTGACCTTCTACCTCAAGGTAAGCAGTAGATTCAACATCTCTGGCTGCAAAGCGGATTTCTCCAGCATCTTCAGCTGTAACGTTACACATCAGCAGGAAGTGTTTGGTCCCTGGAAGAGGAGTTTGACTGTTACTGATGAAAAATGACAACATCACAACTTCAGATGCTTCCCAACAGCACACCAGGGGCTCACTTTACAACAGACATCCAGAGACTTGGAAAACCCACAAAAAAGTCACCCTTCCCTTAATTCTCCTGTGATTTGTCCCCCTGCTCCCTCCAAGGCCCTGCCATTCCCTCTGTCCCCACCAGAGGTCCTCCTACAGGCTGGATCCTCCAGCTAAGCTTTTGAAATGATGAACTATTTAAAATTCTCATTTTATTGTTCCCCTGGTATCATCATCTTACGACATGTCACTTCTTCACATCTTCATCTACACAGTCACACATGTTATTTTAAGATTTGCCCTTTGTGGCCCTTCATCTGTTTTCATTCTTTGCTCCTGGTTCCACTCATCTATTTAAGGAAGGTTGGCAGAACTCAGGACGGTACTGACTGGAATGTTGGCCATGTCGCTGGATGTTTTTCTGGCTCAAAATGGGCCTCTGAGCGCTGATGACACACAGCAGCAGGTATGACTGATCCTTTTGTCACCTTATTTGACAGAAATCTATGCATTACCCGATTGTCTGTGGAAACGGAGAAACCAAAATGTCTGTGAGGTTTTAGTTAGTGAAGCCCCAAATACCAAACTGGTCTTCTTGTCAGTGTTTATCATGTTGTTGCTGATGCAGACTAAAGCCTCTTCAGAGGGCGTCACAGGGACAGAACCAGCTCTCCCAACCTCAGACACAACTGTGGCACATTTGTGACTCACTCAAACACTATTTGCGATTGAATTATGAGATTTTTTTCCCCTCATTCTCATCAAAACTGTTCAGTTTCAGCCCTTATCAGGCCTTGTCTCCTCTGACCTTCAGTGCGGATCTTGATGGTACTGGTGGGCCGGATCCTGTGTCCGTCCTTGTACCACTCCCCAGTCACATCCTCCAGAGAAACCTCACACATGAAGACGGCATTCTGGTCCTCCTGGATGTACAGATCCTCCAGATCCTGCACTATCTCCAACTCATGCTCTGTGAACACAGAACTATTTAGCATCTTTTTTGAAGATTTGTTGTCAAATGAAGATTGTCTTTAAAGCCACGAGATGAAGGTCTACTGTAAGCTCAGCACCAACTACTTCACTTCCAGGTCTGACTGTGATGTGTGCTCTGATATTTACCGTAAACCGCCAGTGAACACGAAGTGTTGATTTCTCCTGCATCACATGTGTAGGAGCCAGAATCAGCCCGAGAGCACTGCATGATCTGACAGAACCGCTTCCGACCCATGGAGTAGATCCGACAGTTCTTTCCCGCCTTCAGCTCCGTCCCGTTCTTATTCACAGAAGAAGGAAGCCAAAGGTGTTCTTATTAAAACAGTTGCTTTCTTTCCACAATGAGCCAGAACAGGTAAGAGAAACCAGAGCACCTATCGTTTTTTTTACCTTCAGCCATCTGACTTCGACATTTTGTCTCGAGAGTTCACACTCCAGAGTGACAGGAAGTTCCTCCTCCACACGCACATCAGCCAACGGTTTCACGATGGACACTGGTGTCTCTGTCAATTCAGGCAATCCAGTCAGTCAGCCACACAAATCAAAAACTTCACCTGCTCAGCCCTGAGCTAAATGACATCCCATAATAACCAGAGTTTATCTGCAACCACAAGGTCTGTTTGAATGATTCTTGTGTCATAATCAAAGGAACACTAGTAAGATGTGTTCAGGTGTGTAAATATCAGTTTATATGTTCCTGGTTCA